ATAAACCGCAACATTTAGACTTGTTCGACCTCCTCTAGCGGCTGAGCTTCAAAAATACTTCTGGGTAGTATATGGTATTGGTAGCCATTTAGTTTTTGCCATCTCGTCTTTGGCAAGGCGACCCAATGGCGGGTATGGAGCGTTGGGCTGTTTCTGGAATCCGTCCATGTTCGACCGTCACCACCGTCCTCATCGCAGTTTGATTATAAATACATTATTATATGCCATATATATATATATATATATATATATATATATATATATATATATATATATGAATAAATTTGAATTGTTTCTCATTGTTTTTGATTTTCATTTCGGAACTAACGATTTTATTGCGTGCTCCGTTGCATGGTTTACTAATGACTCGATCTGATTTTATCAGAGTGGTCGCTACCCAAGATTTTTTGGGTTTTATATATATATATATACACTGTTAACAGTAGGAGTAGTATGTGGAAGGAGAGGAGAAGCGAGCGGAAAACAGTAAAAGTTTGCTTGAAAACGCAAATAAGCACACAATCAACTCGTTCCACACCAGCTATTGTCTATTTGTTTCTATCTCATATATGGAGACGCAAGGAACTCAAGACTATAAAACAGCACCGGCAGTGTCCACTATGGAAGCGACCGTTCAATTGGCCGATGAGCTTGGACCTTCAACCCGGGCGCAGACAGAGCATGCAGATATTATGGTCGTAAGAATACTTGTCGTGTTAATTGCGATTATCTAGTCTCAAGCTTATTGTTTTTCCTTTTATCGGGTTAATATACATAAACCTGAATCAATCGTGTTCGGTCTCTCTCGAACACTTAACCATAGAAATTCTAATCCCCATAAAGTTCTATAGGCAAAACATGACAGCGATGCTAAGCAGGCAAGATAGTTGACCGCTAGCCTGCGTGAAGAGTCGAATGGTATAGGATAATAATAGCAGTACAAATGACAGTCATAAGATGTAGATCTATCGTTAATGAGGTTGTAAAAAAAAAAAAAAAACACAAAACCGTTATTCGTCTGACGGTGAAATCAATGGAAAACTTAATACAACTTAAATAGAGCGACGATTTTCGAAACAAAGAAAAATGGCCGTACGCGACGCTTACCAGGGGAAAAGGTCGAAATTGTAGAAGGGGGGAGAACGAAACGTTCGATGTTATTTAGGCTTCTTTCCACTGAAAATTATCTATAATCCTATTAACTGTGGGATATGACGTTATTGTATGAAACCACATCTAAACGCATTTGCATAAACACCCATATATACAATTACCGAACGAAAAGGAGATCTTCAGGTTACTGCAGTGGCTTGATGCTTGAGATCTTAATCAAGCTCAAACGGATAGTTCTGCAGGGACGTTTATCAGAGCGAGAATTTTTTATCATCAGTGTTGTTATTGCCATGAAGTAGAATTTCGTCACGGTCATTTATAAGTAGAAGAACATTCTCACCCCATCTAGGATCATGCCCAGAATCATCTGTAGTGACCGAAACACAGCAGTAACATCAGAACCAAAGGAACAAGCAGAAAAAAAGGGCTCCGCGATTGGTGAGCACTGCTTTAACCAGTCGACGATTTTTGCAAAGACACCTGAATGCTACATAATAGACCGTAACGTTAATGGCCAAGCCCCCTTTCTGATAACAGCATCAAAACAATAGCAGCTTAAATGTAGGTTGGTGCCGTAGGAGAAAGTATGTAGCAAATATCTTACAGAAAAATGGCCAACACCGATGAGTTTACGGCTTTTTAGTTTAGACAACACGGCCAATCCAGCCTTCATTTGTCCATTTCGCACTATGTGTCTGTAAGTGCGCCAACCACACATATATGTATACAGAAAGGGAGCGAGAAAGTAATGACAAGTTACAAGTTAAGCATGAGTTACCTTCGAATATGTCACAAAAAAGGTACATTGACCACCCAACACAAAACAGCGCTCTTTGAAGTCTGCGAATAGCTTTAGCCAACTTCAGATGGCAATTAACCCATTTATTCATCTTACTAGCGCGATGCCATGCTACAAAATGCACAAAACAGTATTGTGATGGAAGCAAACACCAATTCAGCTAGATCAATCATAAATGTTGACTGATTCCCAGTTAATTTTCTAGGGTTGTTCCGTTCGGCATAGGGTAGAAGTAAGGGTCCATTTTCTATTGATAACCTTGAGATCGGTCTGTCTCTACTGCACGACGAAGGCGCTGACGCTTGATTGTTGGGCCCACGGGACTGAGCCCTCCAGGTGTTCTGTCTAAATGATTGCAATTTCTCATCTGCTAGTTAAATTGTTTCCCACTTTACTCAAGCGTTCGTAAGAGAACGACACTCGTTCTTCGAAAAAGCTTTGAGATTGAAGAACAACTTCTCGAAGATTTAAGTGCTTTACGACCTTCTTTCTCTATTTAGGAGGTCTGGCCACTAGAAATTTAGCAAGTTCAGGTCCGTCAATATCGAACGTTTCATAAGAGTTGACGTCGCGCACGTGTTGTTACTTTTACGTCGATTTTTATTACGCTACATATACAATTTCCTATGTACAACGATTACCGCAATACAGAAATGAATCGATAGGTTGAGGTGACAAAATGATACCCGCCACTCAGTATTTCGAATTATACGTACGAGAAGTACTCGAAATGAGAGAGGGCGTGAACCGTCGTCGTCGTCTAGTTGAAGTTTTGGAGAGACGAAAGGTTTTGTTCAGACAATGAAAAGTTACGTTGACATTTACATACGAGTAGACGTTTGATATCACTAGACACACCTCATTCTATACTGTCCAGAGCCAACTGCCAATGCATATCATATATATATATATATATATATTACAAGAGAGAGGGTAAACAAAGCAGACGAAATCAACTCCAACTTACTAAATCGGTCAGCCTGCAGACACTGAACTAAGCATCCCGTGCCAGCGTTGTCTATACCTTGTTAAGCTAATTATATTGCAAAGCACACTGTACATTGTTCGTTTCCAATTTTGAAATTATAATACTCTTAAGTAATCCCAAAGGTCCGCTACATTTGGTTAAATCTATGTCCGATTTTATCCTACCGGTACTACAGGTCGTTCCGAAGCTTTGACTTAATGATGTTCAGTGCAATACCGCTGCATTGAACATCGTAATACTTGTACCTCTCCTAACATCCTACATTTTCTATTTTTTTTTTTTCTTACCTTTTACCCTTTGTTGTCTACACAGTCGAACTTGATATGATGGTCAAGGCCAGCCATCAGCGTGTATTCTGAGACGTCCTGCTATTGCCTTTTTTTAACCATGTTTTGCTGAGTAAAGAAGCTATAGACCACTACGGGTATAGTACGGCTGTATTCTTCGACCAATTCCAACGCAATGATTTCTAGGAGGAAATTTTTTCCATAGTACCGATATCATCAAATAGATGCCTTTTTCAATTACTCTCACAGCCGAAGCGCAATAGTATCTTCGCACGTTTTTTTTGTACTATCAAACATTTTCAAGGTCTTTTACGTAGCGAGCGGTCGAGCTGCCACTTCCAGAACTAGAAAATGGATCGGGCCATAATGGTAAAATTGCATTACCGAATATTGCGTCAGGTACGTCGGGACGAAAAACACTAACGGGCAAAGACAGAACGATACAGAAACTACAAGTTACCCAATTATAATGGCATCTAATAAGTTTTGTGAGACCGTGTCGCGAACCGTATTCGCGACCAAATGGGGCATTTAACCCGAATTGGATCTCAGATGAAGTTCACGTTTATGGGCACCGTATTCGATATACCTTATCTAATTTTCTAAGCACCTCTTGTTGCTCAATCAGTTAACCATTTTCAGTAAATCACCTTTTTTTCTGCCAGGGGCATTTGTCAAATGGTGATTTTTTCGTGCTTACATCTTGGAGCCCCGTTCTTGAACCGACGTCACATTCGTTTTCTTCATCTTGGCCTATAGAATTTCGCATATGAGTCTAGTTTGTGCCTGTCTCGATACGCACTATCCTGATTGTATGGCCATCAGTTAATGTAGCAAATCTGATCCGAAGGTCCCGATTCGAGAAGTTTAATTATAGCGATAACCGTTTCATCTCGAATGCCACCGACGCGTCTTTCAAAAGAGAGCGATTCGCTCAGACTAATGAATAGCAGATGCGTAATCTTGATAATTACAAACTGGAAACCATATAACAGTGTCTAATTCAGTACGATGCCATTGAGACGAAAATAACAGCAGCAGCAAGTATATATTTAGAAGATAGACAGATGCATGACTTTTCAGGGCAAACCAGCGTGATTTTAATTGGGATGGCGGCGACAACAATTAGCCACTGAGAACATATTCGTTGGGTTATCGATCTATACGTTCAGTGTGGGGTTCTATCAGGGTTGTAATTTTCGGCAATTTTTTTCCTGTGGTTACTTAATTTCTATATTTATTAGTTTATGCCGATTGCTTTTTGATCGATCGTAATTGTGTTACCTCTTTGGGTAGCCTTTGCCCGTTAACCCAGTTTTTATGTTGCATTTCCATTACCGTCGTAGCAGGTCAGTAGGCATAAGAATATATTATGGCTTTGACTAGCGGCTGTACCGACTTCCGATAACGGTACTACCACACGCACTTCACTACCTCGCTACCTCATCCAGAAATATCGATGTAACAAACCGTCCCACGTAACATCGTGTCAATAACCCATATTTCTCGTTTGCGGATAAAACAGCTGCATGCCAAAAGATAGCGTTGACAATATCAGTCTGTATGGAGATACACAATCAATATGGGTAGCCATATTAGTGCGGAGTTGTTAGGGTCAATCTAATGGGTTCTACTACGACGAGATAACGATGGTGTTTTATATGAAAGGCGACTTTTGCCACTTATTAATGTGTGACATTTTTTTAGTTTGAACCGTTATTAACTTTAATCAGTTGAACAATAAATATTAACGCTGACGATATACTGCAAAACTGAAGAACAGGCCACTATTACTTTATTTGTTTTATTTCAGTCGACCTACCAAGTCAAGTGCCTCCGCTGACCCCAGGTACAAACCAGAAGATGGCAAATATGCTTCAGTTGTCCTTTTCGACCTGGGACAAGGTTCGTGAGATGTTTAACACACCGCGAGGTAAGTATCAAGAAAAACTCTCAGCAAGCGAACAGAACCAGTGACAACGATAAACAATACATTTAGAATAGGTAGAATTTAGAATATCAAGGTCTATTATGCGCACACGTAAAACAGAACATAACGTAATATCATCACCATCATTGAAGGTTTGTATTTTTTCTTAGATGGCCTTCTCGCCACTCTCGCAGACTCGCTACTCCTGCCAGCACGCCTGCAAATATACGTTTAATATTTGCTTGTTAGCACATGCGTATATACAAATAACCTACATTTTAATAAGAGGTTCCTGTATTTGAGATACGTTTCATCATCATATTTGAGATATATTCCATTATCATATTTCATCGCTGCTGATCGAGCCAGCGTTTTCCGGCTGTCTTGCCATTTTGCAACAAATAGAGACCTGTCTATCAACGTTCCTCGACCTACAGGCATTATTGATTGTATAACGAGAACAAACATTTTCGGCCTCTAAACTTCTTTCGTGTGTCATCCGTGTAAATCTTTATATAGCACACCACTTGCAGCCCCTTGTTCCCAGGTAATGCTTCAAATGATATTCTCCTTTTTTTTTTGAAATCTTTGCGTCTGCATTGATTTGTTATAACTGGCGCAACGCCGTCTTCGGCGATATTGTCTCGGAAACGAGCGGCATGTGTGACGTAGAGGAAATCATTCGGTTTCGAAAAAGCCCATTTCTATGTTATGCCTACCCAAGCAATAGCCGCCCCCACGTTGCTTTCGGGTCCATTCGCGTTAATAAATCGAAGTGGGCAGCTACAGATAAAGCCATTTTATGGCTCAATACGGTCCTCTGAGCACAAACCGAACAGGCTGCTTTGCAATCGGTCCCCTTCGTTGCTCTTCTTTTTCGGCGAGCCAATTTTACTCGGCAGCGGCAATAGCATCTATGGCAATGACCATCGTTGATGAAAAAAACCGTGCGTCTATTGAAAACTAGTTCAGATTTGAGCTCGTTTTCGATATGAAGACCTTGCTGCGGGCCCGTGAATCGCTTTCGTATAACCCACTTTCCACTCGAACACGATGTTTGCGATCGATGGACCTTCGCTAGGCAGGCTGGTTGGTCTCTGGCTTTCACTCCGTTACTTTCTCAACAGGGGTCGATAGCTCTCCCTCCATCTTTTCTTCTAGTGCTTAGTAATTTCTTCATGTACGATACTCGTCGTATACATGTTGGCCGGAAATGCGGAGTCGTCGCTTCGTCCGGAAGTGGGGCCTTATATAATTTTCTATTTCTCTCGCACTCTACTTATCTGTCTTATGTAGGTCTGTAAGGGAGATGCTCCTAAAAGAGATAAGCTACATTCTCCCGAATCGAAAAGGACCTACAATATACTGGTCAAAATACAAAAATCTAGGTAGAGAAAACATGACGGGGAGACCTTAGAGAAATTTCTCTGCATACGCATTTAGGCAGACTGAAAGGAACATGGACGAGGAAGGAACGGAGAGAGAAAAAAGGACTCCGATCTCAAGCGCGGGTGCGCGAACGTCCTTGCTCGATGAAAACACACGAGCCAGTATGAGCAAGGTGGCGCAGGCCACAGATTGTCGAGACTATCTAGATAGGCAGGACTCGAGATCCAGGAAAACGCTTCAAGACAAGAGCGGCGTGCTTCGAAATGTATTAAAATGCCACTATTCAATAGAACTAGGAAGATCGACGAAGTAATTGCGGCTTGTGCCAGATGTCGATGATTTTCACGGGCGAGGCTCCGTTTTAGCTAAGTTCAAGCTGCTTTTAACTAAACGGTGGTGTTCAACTTGAAAAACACGTATTGAGGTGAGGATCGCATCTAAGTCATTCAGCTGAATTTCATCTAAATTATCGTAGACCACGCTCGGTTATAGCTGATATACAGCAGATGCCGATGGCATTGTTAAATTTCTATAGCATTTATATGCACGCACTTCTTAGTACGTACGCCTCTTTATTAACTGACATATTGTTAAAGGTAGAGACAGACAAGTAGCTAGTCTTATGATGAATAGTAATTTTGAATATCTATATTACTATGCCTTCGTACGTCAATACCGATTCTAATAGGATATGCGTTATCTTTGTCGTCAAGTGTAAACTAGGACAACGAAGTTCAGTGAAGTTCAGTATGAATATGAAGTTCAGTAGAGTATTGTTAACCTGAGTCTGTATTGAGACAGGTGAAATAGGTCGCAGGTTATCTCGTCTTGCTTTTTTTGCACCAGCGATGCTGTGGTTAATTTGTATTTGGAACTGCGGAAACTCACTGGTGTTGCGGAAGTAAGCGTTGCGGCACACAAAATATAAGCGCTTGTTCCTTTTAAAGGTCTCGTAAGCTTTGTTTAACCCTATATAATTAGCAATACGCATAGGCACAGTGAAGGATGCGCGTAGGTATACGTATTTTTAGAAGTTTGCAGTACGGATTATAGCTGCGATTCGTTCAAGTAATGATGAATGATGATCCACAGTTCTGCTCGGTTAGCTTCCTCCGAGAGCTGATATATCATGCAATCTTCCGTAGCGCTAGCAAAACGATTTGGTTATCCCCCGCCCCCAAGGCAATTTTAAATCCCAGCGAATAGGAAAGGGCAGGAAAAAGCCGCGCCTAAACCGTCGCGGGTAGATACATCGCCAACTATATTAGATCGCCCGTCTATTCTAAATGGTCCTACCATGGTGGCTGGCCATCTTGTAAGTGTTCGAAACGCTAATATGGCCTCACGTACCACCGGCCACTTCAACGATGACTCGTTTTGCGTACAGCCCTCGTTCATACGATTGCCCGCGCGTGCTATGATGTGTCCTAATATGGCTTACTGTGGTCTGTCATTCATGTCTTATGTGGCATTGCGCTGCGTTCGCTCATATTTATGTGTCTACTTTATGTGTTGGCTCGGCATCATAATCACAATAACCATCATCGCCAGTACTATTGGAATTTTTGCTGCTTTCTAAAATGACGCTTTCCGCCTCCATTTTCAGATCCCCGCGCGTGGTCTCCAGAGGACGTCACTCATTGGCTATCGTGGGCGGCTAGTGAGTTCTCGTTGCAAGGACTGGATCGGTGCCTCTTCGAGTCGCTGGGAGGCCGCGAGATCTGTGCACTTGGCAAGGAAGCGTTTCTTATCAGGGCTCCGCCTTACACCGGAGACATCCTGTGGGCGCATCTGGACATGCTCCTGAAGGGTGAGTAGAACAAGCAGACGACGGGGGCGCTGATCGTCATGGAACATTAAAGCCGTAGAAACAAAAAGAGATATCTAGTACGCCCTAGTAGTTGACTGTGGAAGCTACCTTTGCATCGTACGGCCAAGTAGGAACATTATCCGACCAGTACTTTTTGCTCGGGTAACTTTAGTAAGTTCGGTCGCCGTCACAGAGCGATATTGATCCACAGCTTTCAACAGTGCTCTACTGAGACGTTCAATTTCGCTTTTTTTTTTTTTTTAACTGTTTAAGTAAAAGGTGATCGTTTGCTGAATATAGTAGGAAAGGACTTTACGAGAGGACTTTAACATTTACATCTTTCGTCAGCGGGATGAACTTCACTAGATGTGGTGCTAATCTGACCCGTCATATAATCTAAAGAAAATACAGCTGCAACCCACCAAGTTCAAAGACATCTGGCTCAAAACGGTCTGTCTTTTCTATTTAAAACAACCATGACATAGCCTTGGTGACTGAAGTTATGCATCTGTGCCAATTATAATATGTTCCGAAGTATCCCCAGATATGTGACGAAATTTTGCTTCGTTCGAACTTAACAATTTACTATATTCTTTTAACAATAGTGATGACCATATAAGTTAGTCCCGCAGATCGTCCTTTACGCAGACATCATATAGCATTACGTCTGCTGTGCTCAAGTGCAATTCGGCCCATGTCGTGTCAGACCAACGATTTCATTGAGTCGAAGTGCCTCAGCAGAAAAGTAAAAGTCAAGTTATCATCATCATCATTGTCCTCATGCTGCGATTCGGTCCAAACCTGCGATAGTGAATTATTGTGACGAGCGCCTGAGGCACGCTTTTTTGTGGCCGACTCTCGGTTAGCTGAATGTAAGTTTGACCGTTTCCGCTAATTGTTAAGTTTATTGCCATTCTTTTTATCGTGGTTAGATATTGTCCTAGCACTAGCAGGTTGTTGGCTATGAAGCATTGCTTCGTTACTTTTCCTTCAGCGGTGTTTCTCTTTTCGAATTCGTCGATGTCACCATTTTTTTTTGAGGCTTACCGGCGCCGATTTTACTCGCTCCCGCATTATTGTTCGCTTCTATGCGTGTCCCGCCGCGTTTTGTCACGTAGTTGGCCGGCCAATCGCTAGAAGCTGCAACACCCACATCTTCATCATCAGCATCTAGAACAAGAATAACAACCACACCTTTCTATTGCTTTTTACAACGGAGCATACACTGGCAGCCGTGCGTGCAGCTCGTAGGCCAACAGCGGCACGATACAGCGCCCTAAACAGCAGCAGACGCATGACCTTCGTCTGCTTCTCTCAGCGTCCGTCGCGTTCACTGCATCGTTATTACACATGCCTTACCCCATATGCTAGACGATAATATCCACCATAGTATTCTATGTACACGCTAGTCCTTTTCTCTCTGCATCCGTTTGCCTTCAGATTGTTGTCCATTATCATAACGGTGGTGGCAGTGGCCGCTGTAATTTGGCTTCCATGGACAGCTGCAGTTGCCGTTGTCGCTTACCTCAAATAACAGTATAAGGCACTACCGTAAGAAACACTGATAGGAGAAGGACAGCAATGTTCAATCGCGCCACACTGCAAGCCACGGTGTTGTTTGAGCGCGAGCAGCGGAAACGGTGAAAGTTGTCGGCTTTTTTCGTCACACCTTCGCTGCCCATCGTCGGTTACTGCAGGCGCCTGTCGACCAACGACGTCCGGTCGCCGTTTTACGTTGCTGCATGATTGCAACCATTATCATCAACAACCATACAGGCGTCCGCATCGCCATTACTGATATCACCGCTGTAAACACCATCATCATCTCCATCAACGACAACAACAGCGATAACGGTATCATAATGATTACCTGCTGGAATAAAAACAACGCGGCGTGATTCCTGAGGACGGTCCACTTCTTTTGGATATCTCTATCTACCTATTATAGAGCTTGTGCTATAAATGCTCCTAAAACTCTGAAGCCATAATATCTCAGCAACGCCAATGCTCTGGAAGGCAAATTCATAGACCTATCTACTCGTGATAAGGTCGGATCCTGTCGCGGCAACAAAGCCGCGATTGGTTGCTTACAATGCAGAACGTTCCGGCAACAACAGTTGTGATGCAGAAGTCTCAGACGTACAGACATTATTTTATCATTTATAAGCCAAAGGAGAAAGGCTTCCTCAGACGACATTGTACAAGAAGGCTATAGGAGCGTAACATATGCCTGTTCTCAGCCAACGAACTTCTAACTTCGAGACGACTTTCTATTACAATAGCAGGACTCAGTTGCCTTTGGCTCGCTCCTGCACCGGCAGAGCAACAGTAACAGACTTCCGGTTGCTCTTTCGTTTGTGCTCCAGAACATTTTGAGCGGTCGGCGTTGTTCTTAGTGTAACCCGTTCGTTCTTTGACTAACTAAGCAATAGATGAAAGAGCAAGATAAAACTACACCAACAACAACCTAGGTAGTAGGAGCTTGACCTAGGGCCTAAGGTCATCTTGCAGATATGTGAATGGCTACCCCGTAGGTATCTCATCCAGCCTGTGAGTCACTTCACACGTCCGTAATGTTGTTGTGATTTCATATGAAAAGGTTTTCATATCTTTCTTGAATTGATCAAATTTAAATAAACTGTCATTGAAGCCCTAAAGAGGGTTTGATTCACTGAACACCTTCTCGCTTCTGTTTCGCTAAACGGCTCAGTATTTTATCATCGAATAGTCGAATCAGTAAGTTGTTCTGAAGCCATCAAACAGAACCCCACAGAAGCCGTGCCACCAACAGTATTTCGACGAGGCGATTAGGTCGCGCGGGGTCATCCGGAACTTGTAACCCGTTTTTCACCTCCATTGCCTTCCGCCCCGCTTTCCTTTCGTCTTTCGGATCTTTGTCCCTCTCTGATCTTGTAGATCCTTCTGATCAGGTGGCAGATTTGTAGTTTTCTGAACGGCCGCGTTCTTCTATCAAATTCTGAGGCTGGTTGTAACAGTACCGATGATCTACCAACGCTGAAGTTAGCCCATGCTGAATTTCCTATAGCGGGACGGTGTCTGCGATGTGTCCTCTCGTCAGCATTCGCAGTACCATTTCTAATCTCGCAGTAAAAACCGCGACTGAAGCTATCGACGCGTCATCATCCTAAACACTATCATCGTGATCATCCTCTGTGATATCAAATATATGTCGCGTCCCATTGTCGCCCGATGCATACGCCAGAACTATGCACTGCCTGTTGGGGTTGTCCATGTAGATCTATTTGGCCCTATCCCAACTCATGGTTTGGCTCGATGAAGTAGTCATTTGATCGGCAGTAGCCACTAGTAAAAGCAGAAGCGCCTGACATTAGCTCCATGACTTAGTTACTATCAAAGAGGGGTTGGTGACCCGGGTTTTGCGGCTTTTCGGAATCTACACAAACGGGTGCACCACGGCTACAATCGATGACGACGACAATCAAGACAACAGCAACAACAACGACGACGACAAAAGAATTACGTAGTTATTAACATCAGGAGAATTACTACGCAGCTTTACAGGGGTGGGACGATTGCGAAGCCGCATTACGCTAGACCGGACTACCTACAATGGACAGGAAATCGTTTGGTCCTCATTTCATCGGTGTTTCGCTGGCGCTGAGTGGCAACGATTCGTCTACGATGCGACACTGAACGACGCGTCGTCAAGCGGCTGCATCACCCATAACAACGACAACTGAAAGCGATGACTATGCGAATTCTATACCGCTATGGGTTGATATCGCAGACGCTAGATTCCTAGCCTAACACGGACTAGTCCCACTGCGACCTCTACTTGCAACGGGCGGTGTTATGATGGGCACTGGCTGTATCGCCCAGGGCGTTTGTGAGTGGGTCGTTATGTTTGTTAATGTCAGCCGTGACGCTAAGTTCAGTTCAGGTTGACAACGGGGGCACGTGGCCATTCGAAATTGTAGGACTATGCCGAGCGCTGGATTGCGTTCTATAAACGAATAGCACCAACAAATTATCCAGTAAAATGGATGCCTGACGTTGTCAACTGCATCGGCAATAGCAGTAGGAGAGATAGTAGTCAACTATTGTCAGCACATACATTCTGCGTAGAGCATCGCCGAACAGACATACGACTAACTTCGAAATAGGGAGCTGGGCTCCGAGTCTAGTTAGTTGGCTGGCACCTGACCTGTGAGTGAGATTTCGGCGAATCTATGGAAGTTGCCAGCAACAGTGGAACTCAATCCAGGATCGGGAGCCTGAAGTCCACACATTTTCTGGCAGGCAGTTTCCACTGCGTGGCTCGCGGACCTCGTACGTCGTCCGCGATAGGACATCTAGTAGCAGAAGAGTGGTTCGAAATGTTGCGGTCAGCACACACAAATAGCAACATAACTAGAAGAGGCACAACTCGCCGGTTTTCCAAATTGCTACTGGTTGTCTGCTACCGTATTTTTGCGTCTATTCAGCCGGGGGGGTTCGTTTGTGCTCTCGTAGTTCGTATGCCGCGACTATTTTCACGATTCGACTGATACTGAGTTAATTGCTATATGATAACGTGAGCAGTCTCACAGGCGAGATCTAACTAACCTGATGACTATTCAACGCAAGATGGGGCCGCCTTGAAGATGGTGCCAAAAAATTGATCAGGTCAAATGAGATAGCAGTTTTTATTGAGTACAATTTTTTCGGTCTTTAATTGTTCGACTGTTGCGAAGCAGATTGAGAAGAAGATTGAGCCACTTGAGGATTGGCAAGTCTTTCGTTTATATTTGTTAAGAAGAAAAGAAGATACGCATTAAAACGATTGCAATAAACAGCGGATTTATTTAGTGTAAACTTTTCAACTGTCAGAAGATTTCTGCGTCGCCCTGTGTGACCATTTTTTGCTAACTTTGCAGGACAGCATCGTTTGAATGAGAGCAGCTAATTCGTTGTTCCCCTGATTCTTTGCCTTGCTAAAGGTACATCCTAACCAAGTTTATATAACAGCCCATAGGCTT